AAAATCATTCAACCGGAAAACCCGTGCAATATGTGCAAGGACTTGAGCTACAGATCCAATCCTGTAAAGTTTCATTGAAATTGCATTAGTGGTATAAGAGAAGTAGTCCGGACAAACTTTAAAAATTAAAAATTATTAAAGGGCATAACTCTGTCAAAAATCATTGAACCGGAAAATGCTGACAATATGCACAACTAGACTTGGTACTGATCATTCCTGTAAAGTTTGATGAAATTGCACCAGTAGTTTTATGAGGAGTAGTCTGGACAAGCTTTTGTGTATCTGGCAACACACAGAAAAAAACACCTTTTTATCAAAGGGCCATAACTCGGCAAAAAATCATTCAACCGGAAAACCCGTGCAATATGCGCAAGGACTTGAGCTACTGATCAATCCTGTAAAGTTTCATTGAAATTGCATTAGTGGTATAAGAGAAGTAGTCCGGACAAACTTTAAAAATAAAAATTATTAAAGGGCCATAACTCTGTCAAAAATCATTGAACCAGAAAATGCTGACAATATGCACAACTAGACTTGGTACTGATCATTCCTGTAAAGTTTGGATGAAATTGCACCAGTAGTTTATGAGGAGTAGTCCGGACAAGTTTTGTGACGGACGGACGGACAGACAGACAGACAGACGACGGAGAAGTGATCCCTATATGTCGCCACTACTCCGTAGAGGCGACACAAAAAGTGTACTACAAAATCAGTGGAAAGAACAAATAATGCCTTCATTTATTATGTTGAATGACTTTTCTTCCCCATTCATATAATACTGACACCAAAACATTTTCCCCGGTTATACAAAATATATCTTCTCCGTTATATTGTTTCTGAAAATCGTGCATAATATAACAAAAAGTGAGTATCAGAGTATCAACATGCAAACATATCTCAATAACTTTCAAAAATCATCATATAGTGAAACAGTGACCTCCTTATAGTAGGTCAGCTTATGAGCACCAATATCTGCAAGCATATACACACTTGTAATAAAGATATGATAATTTCGTTAAATCATGCTATAACAACTTACCCTTAACCTGCTGGAACCAAGTGTGGTCAGCTTTTGCCATTAGCATCAAACCAGGTCAGCCTGCACATCCTTGCAGTCTGACCAGGCTCTATACTGTTGGTAGTTCTATTTTGATATTGAAATCCCTTAAACTTTAAAAATTGGACTGTTCCAAAACTGGACTGTTCCAAATTAAAAGCAGGGCAAATCTTTTACAGAAATTCAACAGGCTAAGGACTAAACTAGTTCAAACATCTCATAATAAACTATTCATGTTTTCAATATGAGCTTAAATCTACGAGTATTGAATAAAACGTCCTATTTTTAAACAAATCATGTTTCCGATGATATAGAATAATCAAATGATTAACAAATTTAACAATATTTATGCGGAGTTAAATGTGTATATTCTCATTTCTGTACACTATAGTGTTTGAAATACTGTATTTTCAGGATATGTATATGCATTAAAATTATTATAAGGTTTTGTTAACCTTTTATATACTATATATCTTCTTTGATATTCTAGTAACAAAACAAACATTTGATATTTTAGTAAACAAGAACCGGTTGAACCGGGTGATGCTCCCCGAGAAGGTTCTGGACACAGGAAATTATAAAAAAAATGAACAAAGGGCAAAAACTCCAAAATTAGGCAAAGCGGAGTTATGTTTTTTTGCACTGCACTTCTATTCAATGAGATCTATCTATCAATAAAGTTTCCTGATGATATCAGAGTTATGTCCCGGGTAAAATTCAAAGTGTAAAAATGAATAAAGGGCAATAAATCCAAAATTAGACCAGGCTTTGTTTAGGTTCTTTAAGCATTGCAGTTCTATCCAATTATATCTAGCTACCAACAAAGTTTCATGTTGATATCTCTAATAGTTTAAAAGTTATGTCCCGGACAAAAGTCAAAAAGTAAAAATATACAAAGGGCAATTACTTCAAAATAAGGCAAGGCAGAGAAATGATTCTTAAGCGCTGCACTTCCACCCAATGCGACCTATCTTTCTACAAAGTTTCATGTTGATATCTCTTATAATTTTAGAGTAATGTCCCGGACAAAGTTCAAAGTGTCAAAATGAACAAAGGGCAATAACTCCAAAAGTAGGCAAGACAGTGCTACAGTTCTTGTGCACTGCAAATTTACTGAATGAGATCTATCTACCTACAAAGTTTCACGTTGATATCTCTTATACATTTAGAGTTATGTCCCAGACAAAGTTCAAAGTATAAAAATAAACAAAGGGGGATAATTAAAAAATTATGCAAGGCAGAGTTAAGATTCTTGTTCACTGCACACCTACTCAATGAGATCTATCTACCTACAAAGTTTCATGTTGATACCTGTTATAGTTTTAAAGTTATGCCCCAGACAAATTTCAATGTGTAAAATAAACAAAGGGGGATAATTCAAAAATTAGGCAAGGCAGAGTTACGGTTCTTGTGCACTGCACACCTACTCAATGAAATCTATCTACCTACAAAGTTTCATGTTGATACCTCTTATACTTTTAGAGTTATGTCCCGGACAAAGTTCAAAGTGTAAAATAAACAAATGGGGATAATTCAAAAATTAGGCAAGGCAGAGTTACGGTTCTTGTGCACTGCATGCCTACTCAATGAGATCTATCTACCTACAAAGTTTCATGTTGATACCTCTTATACTTTTAGAGTTATGTCCCGGACAAAGTTCAAAGTGTAAAAATAAACAAAGGGGAATAATTCAAAAATTAGGCAAGGCAGAGTTATGGTTCTTGTGCACTGCACACCTACTCAATGAGATCTATCTACCTACAAAGTTTCATGTTGATACCTTTTATAGTTTTAGAGTTATGTCCCGGACAAAGTTCAAAGTGTAAAACAAGCAATTATCATAGTATTGCAAGCAATCCATAAGTCCCCTACCGGTAAGAGCCCAAGCAACATTCTGAAGGGCCATTCACTTCGTATCCAATTTTAAGTAAATTTGTTGAAAAAGTTCTTTAAAAGTGATCACAGGATACAGTTTTTATGTACAGACAGACGGACTGAAGGACACTCTAAAGTTATTTTTTAAACATCTCTGTTATCAAAATATAACATATTTAAAATCCTATCATGATTGAAGAAGTTGGAGTAAAAATTACCAATTTCTCAAAAAAAAGTCTAAGTTCAAAAGGGGCATAATTCTGGAAATAGTCTTGCTAGAGTATTGAACACTCACAAATGTTGAGTGACAATAAGAAACATTTATATGAAGTTTGAAGTAGATACATTCAGAAAAAGAAGTTATTAAAAAAAACAATGTTTTTTCATGAAAATTTTAAGTTCAAGGGAGGTAATTCTGATAAATTTTGTACTAGAGTTGTAAACCTTGTCACATATGATGTGGTTGATGACAAGCAACTTATATTTAAAGTTTGAAGAAAATACCTTAAGAAATAAAGAACTTATAGTGAAAAAACTTAAAAACTAGAATAAGAAATCTTGAAATTCAGTCTATTTGTTGCCATAGCAACCAGAATTTTCAACATAGGAAGATAAGAAAAGGATGTGCATAATTTCCATACTGCCATCTACCCATATGTCAAGTTTCATAAACATATTTTCAGTACTTTTTGTGTTATCACTGGATCCAGGTTATGTGTAAAATTTGCCATATTTTCAGTCTATTTGTTGCCATAGCAACCAGAATTTTTCAACATAGGAAGAAAAGAAAAAGACGTGCATAATCTCCATACTGCCATCTATCCATATATCAAGTTTCATAAAAATATTTTCAGTACTTTTTGCGTTATCGCGGGATCCAGTTTATGTGTAAAATTTGTCATATTTTCTGTCTATTTGTTGCCATAGCAACCAGAATTTTCAACATAGGAAGAAAAGAAAAAGACGTGCATAATCTCCATACTGCCATCTATCCATATATCAAGTTTCATTAAAATATTTTCAGTACTTTTTGCGTTATCGCGGGATCCAGTTTTGTGGACGGACGGACTGACGGACGGACAGACGGACGGACGGACGGACGGACGGAGGGTAAACCTAAAGTCCCCTCCGGTAAACCGGTAGGGGACTAATAAACAAAGGGGGATAATTCAAATATTAGGCAAGGCAGAGATACGGTTCTTGTGCACTGCACACCTACTCAATGAGATCTATCTACCTAAAAAGTTTCATGTTGATACCTCTTGTTGTTTCAAAGTTATGTCTTGAACAAGAAAAGGGGACGGACGGACGTAAGGAAAGACAGACGGACGGACAAGGCGGCGACTATATGCTCCCCCGAAATTTTTCGGGGAGCATAAAAAACAAAACATTACCATCTACAGAAGTTCCTTGAAAAAAAAACACAGGTCTATTTATTCACATTAAAATATAACCTTTTCTAAATATCTAAGGGAAACAAACATTTACAGTTGGCAGCAAGTAGGACAACAGACGAGACTATTCTCTGTGCTTAACTTGACAGTAAAACAAGAGCCTTGATAATACAAGAAATCATAAAGAGAAAGATTTCATTGAAAAAACATGACATAGGAATTAGAAATGGGTCTTTGACATTAACCTACAATTATTATTAAGACATGTATGAAGCTTCAAGTGAATACCTTCATTAGTTTTGAAGACTGATCTTGCACACAAATCTATAAGCAGAAATGTTAAAAGTTCACAAAATACCATACTAGACTGACTCCAGAATAAACAATATTTTTGGGTTTTCCGTACAAACAAACTTTTATATTTACAACTTCAAAAATATCCTTAACTGGTGGACTAATCTATTAGCTGTTGCTGCAAAGGTACCAGGTTTAACAATTATTCCATCTTTAGATAATACCCTAGTGGTTGATGATATATATGAAGTTGCATGTAACAAGAAGTTGCATGCAAAATTTAAACCAGAGTTTTAAGTTAACACGGACACAGGAGCAAGTATGACAGCACTACTTTTCTTTGAATATTTGGGCTAAAAGTCATTTTTGATATGATAAAACATTACAATGATATATAAGTACTAGTAAAAAAACAACATTTAACAATTCTGTAATAATTCAATAAAAGGAAATGTTTCCTTATAATGAAAATCCATATTATTGCCTGTGTGAGGATAGAAATAACATAGGAAATGTACTGTTCCACTTAAGAAACCTTGATTTTTGACACATATAATGTGTTATCTTCTGAGAACAAAAACAAAGTAAACATGTCTTAAAAGTTGCTATTAATTGTAAAAGGGTCATTTATTCATACTATTAACCACTAGTTCTTTGGTTATTAACTAAATGTGGCTTTTTGGTTGTTTTCTTTTTATTTGCATTACAGACACCTGTTACATGCAATTTTACCAAATGGCAACTTCATGTATTTAACTTGATGGTAAGAAGTATACCTGATGAGTCACCATATCCATTTTCTATTAAAAAAGAATCATCAACTATCTGTGTTTGTTTGAGTAGGCCAGACTGTCCCTGGTTCAAGAGTTAAGACTGTTTCTTCACACAAGACCAGTATTGGTTAGTTCCAGGAAGCAGACTGGAGAGAATTCAAATAAACTACAAGATTAGACAAATAATATCTTTACTGAAGATGTATATGCTGATTGGAATACAGATACCCATGTGGTAAAGGTTCGAGTTACACCAACATATACGACTCAACAAAAACAACATAAAAACGTGAGTCTGCCATCTCATGTAAGATGATTTAAAAGCTACTATTTCTTAACAAAAACTCTTTATCATCAATAATTATAGATAATATTCATAGATGAAACAGTGTCAATCATACTTCATGTTAAGGTATTTGCTATAAATAATTTTTCTTATCTATCAATTTTATATAAAAAAATAATTCTAGTTTGAACTGCCAAGACACATAAGCATACAAATCTAAAGCAAAGAAAAAAATATATGCAAAAATAGCTTATTTCAATCACATTTCCATTTTTGTTCACACAACTTACAAACACTTCGCAATAACATTTAAAAAAAAATTAAAGCATTTTTTCAACAGCGTAATCTTTCTGTATTAAATTAGATTAAAGACCTTGATTTTATTTTGATATAGTTAACTGATAAAAAGAGTAGGGCAGTCTTTTCACATACAGGCAGTTTTTATATTTCATTTGGATTTGTCAATATCAAATTTAAGTAAATCATCATTACAGTAGTCATTCTTTTAAAATAGGTAACTATTTCACATCAATTTGCTAGCGAATGAATAAGCAAAATGCAACTTCAAGAAAGAATTTTCTGCCAAACTAAAAATAATTAACAAAATCAAAATTCTATTGTCCATGACATATTTACTTCCTCCTTTAAAAAAACAACAACAAAATTTTTTTAAGCCTTAAATGATTGATACTTCATTTTTTCAATAAAGCAAAACAAGTGAAATCAAATCAAATCAACCAAAATAATTCAAAATCTTAGATTACACATATAATGTAAGCTGGCAGCATACAGGCATCAATATAGAGTGGAAATCAAGACTGCATCAATATAGTTAGTCAATTTTATTGGACCAAAGGAAATGTCCTATTTGTTGGAAGGAATTAAAATGCAGGGTAGAGTAGTCTAACTCTTCATCTAAAACATCATAAATGATTGACTTAAACAATGCAGCATCACAATCCAAATTAAGAAATATGGAATGCATCTAACAATAGGCAGGCAGGTTGTAGAAAAACAATAATTGGGTTTTAAGTCATTCTAACAAAGATAAAGTTTCATGGCAGCATTACTGGTGAATGAAGACCTCATGCAAACTTGTTGGATAATTTCCACAAATAAAAGAATTCAATGTTACAAGCCAGATTCAAGTCAACAACAAAGTCAGCTATGAACGACTTTGCCACATAAAAAAACCTTCCTGTATTTCAGAATTTTAAAATGTACTGAACTATAGCATTGAAGTTATCTTGCACATTTACTTGTGGATGGCCCATCATAATCATCTTGTGAACGTCTTCTCTTTGTACCCCTAGAATAGCTAGTAATTTCTGAGCTACTTTTTGTCGGAGTTTCAAACGGGCTAGGCTGTAATAACCAACTAATGTTATTTTCTAGAAATTCTCTCAAGCCTGGGGGCATGTCTATCACTTTGAGTACATCTAAATGTGCAGGAATCACTGTCCGTAATACCTGACAACACATGAACTGTAATGAAGTCTTAAATGATCGGCATTTTATCACTTTCATTCCACTCCTAGCTGCTGTTGATGACACTACTGGGTACAACTGTTTCCCTTGTAATCCTCTATATGCTATACCTGTAAATCAATATGAAAACCTCATGTACATACAATAAATATCTAACAGGGTTTTCATTTTTATCTGAGGCAACAGTTGCTCAAAAGAAAACAACCGATTATGCCAAGGGTCTAGGGTGATGCATTTATATACAGGCTGAAAATAACAGCATTTTAACTGACGGTTTGGATCGCCAATCAGTTAATGAAAACCCTAATTTAACATTTTCAGCTCGGTTAAACACAAGCATTTACACTATCTATAAAGTGATCAAAATCATATTTAAGGTTTGAAGTTGAAATGAAAATCATTTTAACTTAACTTTTGTTCACTTTGTTAAATAAGTGTATCGGTATTATTCATCTTATATACATGAAGAGAAAAATAAGCATTGCTGCATCCATCTGTTCTACTATTTCCTGTAATTCTTAGAAGCCTATCTAATCAACATACTGTATTTTCATAATGGAAGATCTGACAAGACTAAAGTTTCAACTTGATAATAGATTACTACATGCAAATGCAAACTTACTGCTAGGCACAACTTTTTTTTATAAAATATTAACAATTTTAGCAAAACTTTTAAGTGTATACATGACAATTGTTTGAAAAAACAATAATTTAACATGTAACAACTAAGTGAAACTAAGTATGTACAAATTAATGATTTATCATGCATTGTGACCCAAGCTCAATTTCATCCATAAGTTCAATCTCTAGGCTACTTTGAATGTACGATGAAACAAATTCAAAATAATGCTTACCAAGCGGTTTCCTATTTTTATAAAATGAAAGTGTTCCATGCCACATATCTAAATGTACTCCAATAATGGTTCCTTGTCCAAACTTTGATGAATATGTCTGTTTATGGCCCTTATGGTGAAGCATGCCTGTGTATGATAAACCCCAACTATCTCCGTCTCGTCCTACAAGACTACAAAATTTGTGACGGTATTTGTTCAGATCTAAATCTACTGTACCTACGCCTACCATCTGCAAATAAATAATAACATGTATATATGTATGTTATACTTTAATAGAAACTATAAATAGAATCAATTACCAGATGATTCACATATACAGTCATTAATCAAGTGCTAAAAACCATAAATTTTCAAATTTGGTTATAATATATGGCAGACAAAAATATGAAAATCTTTTAAAAATCAATTTTATAACAAACATTTGTTTTGTTCTACCAATTTAAGCAACTTGAAAAAGTATGTTTTGACTTTTTTTTCGTACTATAGCAATGTAAATTAGTACTGAACTACTTTAAATCACTTCTCACTGCAGTGTATTTTTTGTTCTTACCATGTCAGTGCCATAAACAGGAGTTGTCATTTTGACTTCCCAGTAATACTGATCTTCTCCCATGATTTGACTTCCTCTAACAGCTGCTGTACCACAGCTATAATCCACATGAAACACCACTTCACGCTGATCATGCTTCAAAAAACTTGCTGCAGACTTTGAATTGTTGTCCCATTTCCACTCAAAGTCTGTAAAATAAGAAACACTTTTAACAGTATTAAATATTTTTACCTCAAAATGCATTAAAAGAAGAATTTAATGAAAATGTGTCATAAAACTTTAAAGCTCAGCAGAAATAATGCATTAGATGATATTTCATAATATTAGTAAGAAGTATCATGCTGTATATATTTTAAAGCCATGTTATAATTTATAACAAATCATTATTTTCTTTATATCCCCTTGATGAAATCAATGCATTAATAAATACATATAGACTGAAAATGTGACACCACAAAATCATAACTGACAAAAGAATGTATTCTGCAGGCAAAGGTCACTCCCTGCCTGTACATTTAAATACATACTGAAAATCACTCCCTTGAATTTATTAACCTAATGAAAACTATGATGCTGTCAATCTTACTCATAGACAATGACACATTACAGATGGTTTGGCAGGAATGTTTTAGGATCAGCACCAAATTGTAACAGCATTTCCGCCACGCAAAGATAATTTGCAACAAATGTTTCTTCATTCAATCATTATTTGTGATTATCTCAAAATCATTAAAGAAAAGAGGCTGTAATGTGTTCATCAGATCAATTTATTCTATTACCATGAGACTAATCATTAGACCCTTCATAGAAATTATCAAATGATTACAATTACTTTTATGTTTTGTCAGTAATAAAGGAGTGAATAGCGGTATTTTACCATATGGCTTAATATAAGGGACTAAATCTCCTTAACACAGGATATCTTCAAAAAAATTAATAAATTGATGGTCATTTATTCAGTTGAAATCCTACTTAAGTGAATTTATTTTTTGTTGAACAGAACTTACATGATTCAGCAGTGTTTTAGCATGAAATAAGGAAGTAATGCATCTTTAGTCGATATTCCTTAACCTTTTCCCTTATACAGCCCCCTTAATTTACTGCTTTACACCCCATAATACAGTAGCCAGATAGATAATCAATAATCAATATCCTACTGATAAGGAGTCACACACTATCTCCATATAGGGTATGATAAAATATAGGTAAAATTGGTCAAATTAGATACCTATATACTTTAACTGGAAAATAAAGCATTAAGTTGTGTTTTGACAATTTTTGAATCAATGACAGCTCTAGTAAAATGATGTTCTATTTCACTGTGACACACACAGATTTGACATATTTTGGATGAAAACTTCTCATATAAGGTGTGTCAACTTTGACCAATATAAACACCAGTGAGATGGTCATAATTTTAATGCCATTCTTAGAGATTAATAATGACAAAAAGTTAGTTATAATGTCAACTAGCTTATATAATACTCCCAGCAAATGTTGTTATCTGAACCTGTGCTAACTTAGCACAACCAATAAACATGCCAGATTGACCTAAATTTTATTGCCTTTGATCATTTATTTAAACTTAGCAGAACATGTGTACTTTTAAGTAAAGATGCAATTTTACCAAGGTAACAAAGATTCTACTTCAGTTGCTGAAGACAATACAGGAATTATGGGATAATGACACAGCAAATACTGGTCACTTTCTAAAGAAGGAACCAGATGTTATTAGAACACAGATAAACAGTTTCCGAACTTACAGACTACAAGCTATTCTTATCAGTTGTGTTTTGAGGAAAGGTAACTGGCTTCGAGGCTACATATCTTTCGGTATAAATAATATGTAAAATGGTTGACAGGTTGCAAGATCAGTACATTTGGTATTTTTACTCCTTAAAATGTATGTAAAAGAGTAAAACATCTATTATGCTTCCATGCTTATTGTATTATTATACTATGTCAAAGTCATTTCCTTTGCTTTTTGGACTCCCTTGGTTTATAATCTTGCATAAATTTCTAAACGGCATACGTTTTATCTGAACCTGAGGCATGTTTCTGTTGCTCGTATGTGGCAGTGCTAATTATTTTATTAATTATAACCTTCACAATTACTTTTGGGTCGATTTTATTCGGCTGAAAATACAAGTCAATCGTTTTAACTTTTGACAGCGACATTGTACCATATGTTTATGAAATTGCGTTAATACCACCACCTTACTATACATACGATAACAACCGATGATAGTCAGAACTACAGGAAGTTACCGTTAGACACTTTTGGGTAATTGCAGAGCATTCATACGAAGTTAATTCAACCACCATACTATACATACGATAACAACCGATGATGGAAGTTAAGGAAGTTACCTGTAGACGCTTGCAAAGCGTTCAGACGAAATTAAAAATAAGATAATAACCAAGTTTACTTTAGGTTACGTTTAAGCAAAAGAAATGTTTCTCAATGCGTAACCTGAATTTTGTGCGCGTTCTCATACGCTTAAATTTTGAATGCGTAAACGTGTTATTTCCATGCGTAATTTACGCATATACACATCTTATCTGGAACCCTGATGTTTTTATTTTAACATTTTTACTCTTAAAACAAACAGTCTGCCATCGGGATAATCCGATATATACCTTCTTCAAAAATTATACTACATAATTCTTTCATCCGGTTAACCAGTTATTTCTAGTACCATGTGATGCTACAGGACAATATCTTACCTGTGACCCTGAATGCACAGAACCCAGGATCATATCAATTATAGAGGGAAACATATAAACAGCTTTGGTATTGATATTTATGGCACTAAAAATAATAATTGATAAATTATCTCTTAAATTTATTATGATGACCTGTTTATTGGATTAAACTTTTGCTTGAAATATGTACCAGAACAAATGTTGTGATATGTGATCATGATTAATAGATTGACTACTGTGTTACTTAGAAACCTCTTTAAAAGTTTAATGCCACCGTTGTCAACATCCTCTCTCGAATTAAGGGGCCAGTTATACTTACAATGGATTTATACATTAATTTAAACCTAACTAGACCAGTATTTGCCATTTACTTGAAATTTTATGTTCAGTTTACCATTTGTGTGTGACTTTCACAGTTTAAAAGGAATAATTTATATATCATTTATGAAAAAAATTTCGTACAAGCATCATCTTCCCCACAAATGCATTCTTTTTCTCTTCCAGTTTTATAACAGTCACAGAATGCCTCTCCTTTGACAGGTTTTGCAGAACCAACAGCTAATGGGGAGACAACCTCCTTGTCAGAACTATCTGATTCAGAACTCCCATCTGTGTCGTACTCTAATTCAAGATTACTACTTGAAGGTCTCTCCTCTATTTGAGGTAAATCTTCTTGTTCTTCTTCATTCATCATTAACTCGCATCTTATTAATCTAAATGATAAATTTATCACTACGAATTTATACACCAATTAACGTCATTATTTACACAAAATGCAACGTTGTAATCAAAAGTTTCCAAACAATAACATCCGGGACTTTTGGTCTGTGCTAAAAACCTTTTCCCGTTTTTTTATTGGTACAGGCTAAACACCACTAAATAATTCCCTGACAGATTTGTAAGAGTTAGGGACAATAGCAGAGACCAGAATAAATATATTTCATATATAGTTAAGAACTTTTTTTTCGAAAGCCTTTTCATTGAAATATGGAATTAGCTTTTATCAGGACATTATATCTATCTATTATTTCACTGAAATCTCTCACATACAACGTGCACAATTATTTTAAAATGCAAAAATGCACGGTACGTATACTTTCAAAGTTGAATTATCTCGGAATTTCTGGTAAAGAAAGTAATTTTACATGAGAAGTACTGGAATGAAATAATATGATTTAAACGTTTATGTTGATGGCGGCAACTGTTTCATGCGACCAGTGGAGTTTAAGATCAGCCGACATACACTTGGTGTCTTACAAGGTCGGTATTGTTTGCTATTCAGTCAATACATTATTTGGAAAGTCCTGTAAAGACAATGCATGCTTTTGTGCAGACAAGTCTGTTTAAGATATTTAGCGTAGGAATGACTAAAAGACTCTGTTGGGAGGACTGTTGCTAATGCTCTAAAGTTGTAGAACGACCCATTGACCATTTGTTTTTGTATTGTTCTTGTAATTATGAATATTTCTATAATAGTTACAATAAAATTTTATTAAGATATTGAGAGTTCGTTACGGGCCCATTCGATACGATTTCAATCCAGTCGATTGACACGCTACTTTGAAAAAAAGTAAAATAAGTGTAAATTGGAGTAAAACTATTTATTACCCTTCCAGATTTTTTCCGCCTTTTTGATTGGATATTGATCACCCGAAAGAAATTGATATAACCGAGCCAGACGGGTAATATACACACTAAATTTCCCCGTTTGGTACCCAACGTTGTAAACAACATGCGCGGAGATGATGCGCGTACGGTTCGATTTTACGCGGTCTAAATTCCGATTTAAAAACACTTTTTAACTGTCAAATGATAAATATTTACCAAAGTAGAGTTATGATACATATAACCATCAGTATCGAAAACAAATATGACCTTGTGAAAGCTTGATATTAATTACAAAAAAGTGCGTTCAATAGACTACTCCTTTTCTCTTGTTTACTTTTGTAAGGTACGGGAAAAATACGTCATGTATTTATGTGACGTCATGTTGTGACGAAGAGGTATCCTAAAGGGAATCTTATTTCGACGTTTCATTTGAAACAGCAATGATTATTTTAAAAATCGTCTAAACTCGGCAGGGGAAGGGTAATAAAATTATTATTTTGGTTTTGGAGTGATATATGTTGATATATTACCTGCCAAGATAAAATATTGATATAAAATCTTAACAGGTAATATATCCACATATATCACTCCAAAACCAAAATAACATATAATATTGGTACCTTTAATCACCACAGTTGTTTTTGATGGTCTACTGTTGATGCTTGGTATGTCACTGTAGGCTGGAAATTCAAATAACATATAGATTTTTGGGTAAGTACTTGTATGAATTTATTATGGAGCAAATGTGCCTGAGGCTATAAACAATGCTATACTTGTACACAAAAACTTTGTTCTGGCGCCATATTGTACCAATGAATTGTCTGGTAAATCGATAAATGATTTCGTTTCTAGCCAATCTAAATTATAAATCAAATCTAGTATTTAGGTTCAAACCTGTATATACTTTTTATTACGCTATATACTCAACATCACTAGTTCCGCGTCATCTTTTTTTTCACGATAATGGCATATTTACATATGACCAGTGTTAACATAAACATAAACACAATATTGACATATATTAGTCATACAACTGAACAATTAAGATTGTGTGCAAAATATTTTAAATCTATAGATTTTTTTTCGTAAACAGAAAACATTTTACAAATTTCTGCAAAAGGTCACAATAGTCCGTAAAAATGTATGCACACATCTGAAAGCAATCATCATTTTCTAAATGTTCCTGTTTGTCGGGAAAAAATGAGTTACAAAGTAAAGATTGTTTTAATAGTTGAAATTGAGCAATTCAACAATTGGTATTTTTAACTGAAACATAAAAAAACTAGAGTGTAACACCATTTACTGTGATTTAAATGATGACATAGTTTTTTTTTAAAAAAAAATGGTTGACCTATGGTCTACGACAGGCCTATTAATTTTAAATTTGATTTTGACTGTATATATTGTTATTTCCTTGCGTCATACACCAGAAAATACCTAAATGGTACAGCTTATAAATATTTTTATACCATAATTTTGTTGTTTGTTTTCCTTTTTGTTTCAAAGCGCTAAGTACCGTAAACTAAGAGGAGAACCGTATAATATTTATAACATAGGTTCCAGCCCTTATCGAATCATGGCCATGTTGATTCAATTTCCCCATATGATAGGCAGTACTGGTTAGTTCGAAGACCTGAACTCGACAGCAGTTCAAACTTTCATCACAATAGAGCTTAAATAAATCTGTTCAAACTAAAAACACAATTACATTGTATTCGTATCCGTGCTCTTTAACTCGGTTCTTTATAGACTGCACGATTTACAAAAAGGGCCAAACCACTGTGCCGAAAACATGTCTGTCTATGAGTACAGCTTTACGCACCAGAGAATATATTGTAATCGGGCCCTTGGACAAAAATAATGACAAACACAAAAAGCTCTTGAATCGTGGAATCGTGATAGTATGCGGTTGTTATCGTTGGCCGATGACCTCTAATTAAGTTCTTTCAGGTACATGTAAGGGAATTAATAATGCAAAGTCATACGGAGCCTAGCCCGGGTTTTAGTATATACTTATTAATGAAATATTCAGAATTGTTGATGAAATAAACATTTTCCGTATTTGTACGTATTCGTACTGTAAAAATTTAATTTTTCAATGCAGTGAAACACATATTTTCCGTATTATCAGTCCAAGGGGGTCATACGTACCATGCGCGCGCCTCCTCAAAATTCTAATACCGCAAACACTTTTTTCAAACGGTATTTTTAACAAAAACAAGGCATGTAAAGCAATCAGAATAGATTTGAATTTAATTTCTTTTGCAAAGAAGATGTCTTTACTCCTAGTTTTAATATTCATTTCATACCTTTCGATAAAAATAAACCCCATTTTTATAGAAAAAAACTTTAACATTCTCTATGTAGTCCGAGAACATCGGGTCTTTTGAGCTGCATAATCAGGTCTTGTCATGTTGTCATCGAGGCAGTGGCACACCTCGTGAAATGACAATTTTTTGCGGTTACATGTCTTACATTCATATAAGACTTAAACTCCTTTTAGAAAACTATCGCCCATAAAAGGACTCACTTTTTCGATTTTGTTTTTTATGACACTTGCTTAAATTTATACACATTTCCCGTGCGTGTGTGTGCGCGCGTGTGTGTATGTTTTATAGGAAGATATTTCTCTCTTGAAGACAAAATTTCTTCCAGCCTTACGGAGAAAATGTGTTAACATTAATACAGTTTGGTTTCAGCAAAATGGAGCGGCACCGCACACTGCGGGACACGTATTGGAATGGTTGAAAGAAACATGTGGCAGAAAATTTATCTCGTTTAAATCGGACAAAGTCTGGCCTCCACACTCACCTGATCTAAGTCCATGAGATTTCTTTCTATGGGGACACTTAAAAGACGATTTTTATAATCCAAAGCCAGACACCCTTGAGCAGCTAAAGTCAGCCATTCGCAAAGAAATAAGAAAAAATTACACGTGTAATGTGTGTTAACGCTATTGAAAATTTTAAAAAGAGACTTGACGTCGTAGTTGCACAAAATGGACGTCACATTGAACATTTGATGTAAATTTTGTTTGGTGAAATCCATTTTTTATTTTTCTATCAAACAGAATGACTTTAATGTTAAATAAAACTTTAAAATCTCGAGTTAAAATATGTGTTTTGATATTTAAAATCGTGTGATGTATGTAAAACATACAAGACACTGAAGTGGTATCAGATATTTTGAATCACTCTGTATTTCCAGTTTTTTTTAATCAAGCACACTTAAATGATTTCATTTAATGCTTTTATACGTATAACTTCAGACCAATACATAAACATATAGATAAAACTTTTTTTTAGATTTTTTTTTTGTATTTAGATTCTTAATTACTCCTTTTCACTTTTGCTTATATAGTTTTTCCCCTACAAAATGTTAGTTCCTGTTATTATTATAATTATTATTACTATAATTGTTATTGTTGTTGATGTTGTTGTTATTTTGTAAAACAAAGAAAAGACAGATGTTACTTCTGTCGCAGCTATGGGTAATCGTACTGTAAAAGGTCAGTAATAGGCATGCAATGGCTTGAGATATCATGCTTGTATTTAAAAGATAAGTACTATATATGTTCCATTAGCTTCTAAAGATGCAATACATACAACTGGTGCCACAATGCGGGCTACCGCCGAAAAAGGCTCATTCAATCCGAGTCTATATAATTTCCTTTATATCTCTCGGGCGAATTCTTTCGCAGAGAATTAATTACCACAGTGTTTTTAACTTTATTGAATTGCTTGGCATTTTGAACTCTTCAAGATTATTTTGTTTCACAAATGTTCTATGTAGAAACAATCCTATATACATGTACATTATCTACAACAACCGCATCCCACTCATAAATAAAATCGACCATTTTTTAAAGTTTCAGCTCGGACTCGATAGTATAAAAATTTTTTTCTTCTTTATTATTATCATTATTATCTAATATTTTTTTTACTGTTTAAACGACCCAATTCTTGATCATATCTTTACAGCTGACAATTACTAGGGTCAGCCTAAAATTGTAAAATGATCTCTGGGTTATTAAAGTTGAACAAAAACTTCCATTTCGTCATAATTATCGAAACATTTATGACACTGAACAGAATATTTATCAGTTTTAAACTGTTTTAAATTGTCTTTGGGCGTCTTGTCTGTGATATGCAGGCTTCATAACCTCAGATCCTCTTTCAAAATTCCATTTTATTTAGTTCCGCCCGTTGTTCACACACAGTCATTCTTTTAATTGGGGACCATGCGTCGTTTTTCATGGAATGGCACTACTGTGTCACATTGAAGGTTCCATGATAACCGCTGTATGAACACATCTGCGGATGTTTCTGAATTCAAAATTTCACCATTTTGGTGTTTAATTCCGCTTGAGTCGGTGCTTGGGGTCGCGGACGGTAACTTGCACTTTCCATGCAGTACCGTCCATGAACAGACTCAATCAAACCTATTTTGTTGTGTTGGGCTTTCTTTAGAAGTTCTGTTTTACTCTATTTTAAGTTGCTCTACTGTACTACATGTTCTCCAAAACGCATCTACAACATTCTAAGTGTATATTTTACAGTAAAATAGGCCACTACATCTTAGCTGTCTTGTATATTTTCCACGCCGTTTTATTGAAATAAAGTAGATTTCCCTTGCACGTGTTTCTTGTGCAAAGAAGAAAGGTAATTATGTACGCTTTATAATTTTTTATCTGCGCAAGTTAGTTCCCTTAGAATGTTTTCGATTCGGCTATCAAACCATAGACTTAAATCTCGATTTTGATATATAAAATATAGTTCTAAGGTTACAAAGCAAACACTTTGGAAAAACTATTGGTTTTATATTTGATGAAAATATAAATACATTGCTTTTCCTATTTTTCAGACTAAAATGACGATTTTTAAAGCCAGATTAATATTTAGTTGAAGTCGAACTCGTCTATTGATTTGCAATCCAACATGGCCGCAAATAGCAAAGATAACAACAGAGCGCTCAGAACAGAATTATGTTTTCTTGGAAAATTAAGTATTTGACATCTAGTTTGTAATGATAACTTAAATCAGGAAAATGGAGGACAAATTTAAAGAATTGTTGGAAGCGCACAGGTCAAAGTTCTCCGCCGTAGTGGACGCTGACGGTTTGTTACTGATTTTAGAACGAGCTGAAACTTTGACGCAGATAGACGTAGATGAAATCAATAAACAAACATCAAATAAAGACAAGATTGATAAAATTTTAGACATTCTAACAACAAAAGATAATTTTGCATTTAAGAGTTTGTGTTATGCGCTTGAACAGACATATCCGCATTTATTGACAGTTATGTTTCTTGGAAATAGCCAGAGGATAGGATCAGGTAGGGCTTAAGATTGTTCCAGAAAATGCTTCTTGAAAAATTATTAAACTAGAATATTTTGATCAGTTTACATATGATATCAATACAGGCAATCAATCTATGTGATATTTTGTTCTAGTTTAGAAATACATAAGTAAAAAGCAGGGCTATAGGGGCCGCCTTCTATTGCCACCCCAGGAATCACACCCATTGTCCAGACTTCCCAAAAAACGTCGGTCCGACGGACATGTCCAATAAATTTTGATTAGGTTCGATGATTTTTTATTCCTGATCGGTCTGACTGCCCGGCTTTATCCAAGTGGCATGTTTACAAAATGGTGTCGCAAAAGGTGCCAAACCTGGTAAAAAAATGAAAATCAGTGTCAGAGGAGCGTGCTGAACAGCACTTAAAGGATGAAAAGAATAGATCTGAGACAAAATTTAATGAAAAATGGAAGCAGGACCGTGAATCGTAGGTGTATGAAGGAGGAGATGAAAATTCGCTGTACAGACTGTGCGGATTTTTACGGTGAAAATATTAAAACCGAAAAGTGTCTTAGAAATACAAACACAAGTTTTCCTTTGATTTTGATTAATTTTATTCAGTCTGACAGATTTCGTTTCTGTCCAACAGATTTTCATGGTTTGTAGGACTGAATGTCTGACACTTTTTTTAAACTTTTGGGAAGTCTGTTGTCCAGTGTTCACTTTACTATACGTGCTCATAAAATAACAGACATTACTTCTGGACTAAAAAAAATTTAAAGTCCAGAGCTAGATTTTAAGATATTTTTTGCTGGGAGCAAAAATCTTGTTTTGTAGATGGATTTTGCTCATTTAAAGGTGCCATTCGGAATTTCATGCACTGATTTTGTTTTCACTATTTACCTGAAAATTGGTGATTGTTCCATAGATACATTACAAATGGCAGTGCCCAATTTGATATGACACTCAAAATTTCACTGCTGGGAACAGAAATCTCAATACTTTTTTATTGTTTTTTATTTGATTTCCTTTTAAGTAGACACATGTAGTCTAGCTGGGCAAGCCAAAGCCCTGACAATGTCTCTTGAAATTTAATTTGTATTACAATAAGTTACACTAGATTTAAAGTGAAAATAAAGGTTAAAGATGTAAAAAAATTGATAAAAAAAAGTCTTTATGTTGTTGCAACCTCAAAATCAGGCTAAAGAGAACAGGTCTGTATATACACATGAACATGTATACGTTTAAACTGTCCTGGAATCAAAGCAGTTCCCATTAAATGATATCTTATTTTAAAATGAGAGAAATAGAATTAAAAATAGAAATAAAATTATTTAATGGAAGAAATGTGGTGTCAGTCATAAAAATTAAGATTAAAATTTACAAGCAAGTCAGTTAGACTAACTAACTAAGCAGTTTTCACTGTAAATAACTAATCTATATTTATTAGATTTTTTGCTATCAGGCACTACTGCTGTTTAATAGTAGTTGTTAATCACAACTGAAGTAGGATCTATCTTGTTATTATTCCAGCAGTTTGTCTTTATTAAAGCAGTATCAGTAGTATTTTACTAGTAATTTATATTGTGATATTATTCTTTTATTTACTCTATAAGGAAAACCATTCACTTCATGTTTGTTAAAAGTGCCTTAATTGTGAGGAAGCCCACGCTCCGGTGATGTGGGAGCACTCATTCTGGTGGTGTGTAAGAGCTCATTCTGGTGATATTTTTTACAGGTGTTTATCACAAGAGTTTACTAATACTATTTGAGCATGACTATTTGAGCCGAGGATTTCTTTTGTCAGCAAATAAAACATATAGAAATGATCTTAAGATAGGTCAGAATTTATGAAAGAATGTCAAAAAGCACATGTTAAACTATTCTAAAAGATGCAAACTTTTTTACTCTTTTACTCCCCTTTTTTACTCTCAAACAGTCAATGGTTAAAAATTTCATGCAAATTGGCCCTTTCATAAATTGTTACACTATTGTGGAATTTTGTATGTGTTTTTTAAAAACCTTTAAGATTGGATAGAAAAACATATTATTTTACATAAGTCTTTAAATTTAATTTATACTTAAACTGTAATTTGTAATGAGATTTGCATAACCTGCAGAATAAGGGTTTATTTATAATAGTATTAGCTCTAGCAGTGATTAATGCTGAAGATGCATAAAAATGAGAAAAATGTGCCAGTGCCGTCAGGTAAATGCTAATATGACACGTTATAACCAAAAATATTACAGCTAATATTTTCATTGTTTTATGTTGAATTTCATAACTCATAACTGTTGAAACAGTTTGCTTATTTTATAGCAAGTACATGTAAAGTCCCTTCAGCCAATGAGTATTGCTTTACAAATTTTGTTTGGAACTCGCCAGACCCCAGATATTGTAATTCATAGAAATTGTTATATGGCCAAATAAGTGATTAAAATTGAGGAAAAAAAGAAGAAAACTTTCCTTTTATATGGGCAAAGAGAGGTCAGTCAGCGGAAACTTTTTGTAGAATAAACATTTATAAGGTTTGCCAATTGAAATTTTAAAATCACCAATGCCTGATGCCAGTGTTATTCATAGCGTTAGACATTCACTGGCAGAGCATTACAGTGTCTACATCAATTAGGGAATATAACTCCTGTAAACATTATCTGACAACTACAATGTGTCATTAATAAATTATCACTTAAGTTAATCCTTTGATAAAAAAAAATTATGTGTCTCATAATTGGGCCTGTCTACAACCGCTGAAGTCAGGGTCTGCTGCTTAGAATTGATGAATTTTTTTTTTACAATTTGGAACCCAATGTTTGACACTTAGTTTTTTTTTACTTATTTCTTTTCAAACATGTGCATTCTTGTACTGAGAAAAGTGAATTTATAGATAAGTCAGTATTAATGAGATACAATATGATTCACAAATAGAAATATTGTTACATTTTGGACAAACAGAACAAGTGTCGGATAGGTATTGTAAAAAATATTTTTAAAAGTAGAAATAAAAAGTAAAGGTGTTGACATTATTAATTCCATTTTGTGAACCTTAGTGCACTGTGAAGCTGTAACAGTAAAAGTTTGTATGTACCTGGGGATTAGATCAGAAAATTTTTCTTTTAACCAGGATAAAGCTATTTGTCAGAAACAAATATACATGTACATATTAAGTTACATGTAAGTTAACTTTTTCCTTCTTTTAGGTATTGAGACTCGTCTGCTGGAATATTTAAGATAGTTATTGGTTGAAGGTCCTGCTCATTACATTTTGTCCACAGAAATTAGTGATTTATGCCAGATATTCCTCTTCCTTATTGTCTGTGTTTAGAGAGCAATGCAAACATCAATTGATAGGTCACCAACAATGCTTTAAGATAGAACAAAAGCTGAAAAAATATCTCTATGTCAGTCCTTAAGGGACTTTTATATATCTACATGATACATAAACATATTTAGAAGTCTGCCTTAGAGAATATACAAATTTGAAGTAAAAAATTGATAAAATTAATATTGATTAAACTCACATTAAAATGATGATACAAATGAGTTAAGACTAATTCCAAGTAGCCTGTATAATTTGGGAGGCTTTAGTACCGGGTAGTCCTGAACCTTTTATGGGTAGGGTGCATATATGTTTTCAAGTAGTACTGAACTTTGATTTTATCTCTTTTTCTTATTTTAGGATCTTCACTGAGGTCAACAATTCTAAAATCATAAAATTTGAAAGTTTTACATAGATCAAGTGAAGCAGTTAAAATTGAAAAATCTGTAAAGAAAAATAATGAAATATGCACAGAGTGAAATTTGAAATTGATTGTTTGTTTAATTCTTAGTCCACATTATTTTTGGGTCATTTTGGAATTATGAAAATAATTCTGGATAAACACGGTGAGAGAATGATTGGAACATCAGCACACAAGTTATTTAACAAGACCTTGGCAGACAGTTTTTTGTAAAAATATTCCTAGTCCCATCATGTCAGTAAACCTAAGTGGAGCCCATTTAGTGGTAGAGAAATGAACAAACAGTAACTCTTGACAAGATTTCAGTTGTAATATCAGCATTCCAAAGACTTTGAATTTATTAGCATAGCTGCTGTTCATCTTGTTGCAATGATTGGTGTGCTGACCTTTGTCAGAGCATATAAGGTAAAGAGACCTTAAGGCTGTTGTAGGTTCAAATTGTGGAGGGGATGTTGACTTTTGGTAATGGTGCTTGCATTGGGTAATTGTATGTCCCTAGATCGATCAATTGGGAGAGCATATGGGTTTGGTCTGTCTGTCTCAGTCTGTCACAAATCTTTAACCTTGACCATATAAATATGGATTAGGAAGTCCTTCCAATTAGCTTTTAGCCACCAAACTTCACAGCTTCTTGTACCTTGATGAGCTCTATATGTCATGCCCACTTCGAGGTCTCAGTCCTAATGGTCAAGGTCACCATTTTGGGCATTGTGTTCATTGGAACATAGTGCTTGGTCATCTTGTTTGAAGATACATAATTTATTCTTTGGCTTACATTCAGTTTGCAGATAGAATTCTTAATGTTTCATCGGTATCAAGAAAAAAAGATATCTTATGTTTGCTTCTTAGATTTTGTTGAAAAAAAAAAAGAATGGTCTGATAAACCTATAATGATTTGAATATTGTGATTTTACAGTCTTCACAATTACAAAATAATGTTTGAACAAAGCAAAGTGTGTGTCTTTCTTCTTCTGTTCTTTGTTTGTCTACTGAGATTTTATCATAGTTACACACTAATTATAGTGTTTGCTCTTTATTTTGTAAACACATTTGTTTTACATTTATGAATACAGCCTGTACAAACAGTATTTTTAGTTCTTATCTGAAGAACGGCTTTAAAACACTTTCATTTGAAAAGAAATAAATTTAGAAAATTAGCTTTGAGTAACCCTTATGTCATTAGTTTTCCATGGTTGTATTTTTTAGCTTGCAACCATTAAGATATACAGATTGTAGTGATATGTTTAATACATCATGCAAGGGACATGAAGTTTTAAGGAAAAAAAGTGATAAGA